TAAAGAATTTACTAACTATACAGATTAGTTAGAATTAATATTTGTACCATTATTTACTATAAAAAAAAAAAAAGAGCCGTATTTAAAGAATTTACCGACTATAAAGGTGACAAAAAGTATATAGATTAGCCAGAATTAATATTTATACCATTATTTACTGTAAAAAAAAAAAGTTATATATGAAGAGCTTACTTACTATTGAAGTGACAAGAAGTATATGGATTAGTTAGAATTAACATTTGATAGAGTATCAATTTGTACCATTATTTACTGTAAAAAAAAAAAAAAGTCGTATGTAATGAACTTACCGACTATAAAAGTAACAAAAAGTTATATAGATTAGTTAGAATTAATGTTCAATAGGGTATTGATTTGTACCATTATTTACTGTAAAAAAAAAAAAAGTTGTATGTAAAGAACTTACTTGCTATAGAAATAACAAAAAAGTAAATAGATTAGTTAGAATTGACATTCGTTAGGATATTGATTTGTACTATTATTTACTATAAAAAAATATTGTATGTAAGAACTTACCAACTATACAGGTAACAAAAAAGTAAGCGGATTAGTTAGAATTAACACTCGATAAAGCATTGAATTTGTATTATTATTTACTGTAAAAAAAAAAAGTCAAATATAAAGAACTTACTCACTGTAGAAGTGACAAAAAAGTAAGTAGATTAGTTAGAATTAATATTCGATAAGTCATTGCTTTGTATTATTATTTACTGTAAAAAAAAATATCATATATAAAAAACTTACCAACTATATAGATGACAAAAAGTAAGTAGATTAGTTAGAACTAATGTTCAATAGGGCATTGATTTGTACCATTATTTACTGTAAAAAAAAAAAAAGTTGTATATAAAGAACTACATTCACGTAAATTACATTTTAATGTAATAACAGTCTAATGGTGGTTTCAATTTGATATCATATAAATGGCTTACTGATTTTAGCCCAGTTTTTGTAGTTCTTGCTCAGTTCATCTTTTATCTTTCTAATCTTAAATTTCATCCTTCATCAGAAACATTCTGGATTTCGTGTTAAGGTTTTGTTCATTCTTCATCTTTCACTAGCTTTAGATTTTATCTTTTCTACTATGAAAAAAAAAGCTTATGTATTCTAATCTATAAATAAAGCAATAAAAAAAAAAGATAACAATAATGATTATTAATTTATATATATAAATACTACAAAGGAAAAATTTGTTATCGGGCTTTCAAATCAGCTATACAGATCAGAAACAAAAATTTATATAATAAGAATTTGTAGATTATGTATGCGATATATATGAAATATTCGATTTACTGATGATTAAAAAATTAAAAGTGCAATTTAATAATATTTACTAAGCAATTTTATCATGTAAAAAAAAAATTGCAATTTTTTAAATACTGTACTCAACTAAACAAAAACTTTTTAAATACTATGCTCTTTTTTTTTTTTTATAGTAAATAATGGTACAAATATTAATTCTAACTAATCTGTATAGTTAGTAAATTCTTTA